GTCCTCGTGGCCTTGCCCAGCATCGGCGCCCGCCTGGGCTGGGAGGCGGCGCCGCTCCGCGACCTGCGCGCCGCCCTGCCAGGTGAGCGCCCCGGGGGTTGGGGGTGGAAGGGGATTTTTTTTTTTTTTAAACCTATTTTGGGACCGTTTTAGTACCCAGATGTGAGATAAAGATCAGTCATCCCCTTGTTGAAAAAAACAATTAAAAAACAATCGGATGTTGATTAAATCTGCCGCGACAGACGTTCCCGTCCCAGGGGTTTAAGAGGCCGCGGGCGGTGCAAGTAGGTAGGGCAGTCCCAACCTCACGAGGCACCTGGAGGAGAGAAGCGGTGGTGGAGCAACCGTGTTGCGCAACGCGCCCTCGCTTCGAGCATGGGAGCCACGTCAGTCGATGCTCCCAGCAGTATTAAAGCGTCTCTCGAAGAGGGTGACGAGCGAGCTGAGATCTGGCCCAGCAGGAGGGGTGCGGCCCTGGGAGGGGGGGTTAGTTGCAGCCCGGGCTGGGGCTGTCTTGGTGTCGGTGCTGCTGGGACGTCACACCAGAAGTGAGAGGGTCCTGCCGCCATGATCCTGGTCGGGGTCACACTGCGCTGGGGGTTAGGAAGGAATTTGACCCCCTGGATTGGGGGGGTAAAATGCCTTCCTCTGTCGGGGGGCACGGCCTCCACTGGGATCTCTTGAGCACATCATTGAAGCAGGGCGCTGCAGTTCCCCTGTGGCAGGTGGGGGGTGATGTCTTGTGCCATGTCGGGGTTGATGGTAGTTTTGCTAAGAGGTTAGACTGGATTTGTATAGGCTGGTTTGGGTGGGGATGGTCCTGCCCTGCACAGGAGTTGGACCTTGTAATGTCCCTTCCACCTCGCTGCTGGGCAAGTCTCTGGTTCAGGGAGCCGCGAGCGCGGCAGGGCCACGGCGTCAGGGGGCGGTTTAGTCCAGAGCTGCGTGGGAAGGAGGCTGCTGCCAGGTCACCCTCTGGATGCACGTCGCGGTCTCCTTAGTTAGCCTGGGAGGACGACGGGGGAGAGGGCTGCCCTGTCTTGTTGGTGCTCACTGGCTGCTTCTGGAGCTGCGCTCGCTGCCTGGAGGCTGCAGCTGGCTGCTCTCAGAGGGGTTTCCTTGGCACACATGGGCCTGTCTCAGGCAGGGAGTTGGGCTAGATGACTTCTGGAGGCCCCTTCCAGCCCTGTTTCTCTATGATTTCTACAAGTCACTTGGCTCGGATCCCAGCACATGCCAGGACTTGCATTATGAAGTGCCCACACCAGGTCTCTGGCGCTAGGCTATTCATGTTGTATCCGCAAAGATCAAAGCACCCTTCAGTCAGGCGTCCCGTCTCCTAAAGCATCCAGTAGCAGCCTCCCGCTTTGAGAGGGGCCCTGGAATATCTCCCCTGACTACAGCTGTCCCACAACAGCATCTGTGCATCTCGTGCGGTTCCAGGCACTGGTGATGTGCTTGCGTCTCGGTTCCTGTCCTGAAAAGCACAGGAGGTGCAACACAATGGGAAGCCCAGAGGCAGGAACAGAAAAACTAGGATGTCGAAGGATGCTGTGGGTGAGGCGAGAGAAGCTATTCGCTGCTTGTCTCTTGGTTTAGTCTTCCTGAGTCCCTGGTCATCTGCATATCCCTGTGAAGCGGGAGAAGCTGTTCTTGTTCTCCTCTCAAAATGTCTCTGGTTAAAACTTCCTTTGGAAATGTTTGTCCGCTGCTGTGTGCTTCCCTAGGTGACTTGGAAGAATCGAAACCTCCAAGCCCAGAACAACTGGACAAACTGCGGGAGTTTGCTGGGATCGCCCATGGAGCCCCAGCCGCAGAGAGTCTCGCCACCCTGGCATTTCTCTATTTGTACCTGGCTATTTCAGCTAAATACGGGTGAGATTATGTTACGTTCCTATCCAGGCACAAACAATGTCCAGGGGATGCACATTTATCTCCACTGACTCTTCTCTTGGAGAGCTACAGGAACCTGTTAAAACTATAAGGCTGCAATAAAAATAGAGAAGAAGCAGGGGAGAGGGGATGAATTTACTTTGTAGTCTTAGGAATTTACCTTGGAGGAACTCTTTGAAGTTAAATAGCATTGAGTGGGTGGAAAATTGGCAGGGATGAGCCCCAAAGAGAATCTAGAAATTGGGTGAATTGTTCCATGAAATGTTCTAGGCTCCTAAGCATGGTTACTGTGGGAGCTGACAACAGTACAGGCTATTGAAAAGGCCTTGAATGTGATGTGATCTAGCTACTAACGATGTCATGACTCATCAGCTGTAGCAAGAGAGGCTGAATCCCAAGCTCTGTTTTAGCGATGAAATAAAGCATTGTACAAGTCTGTAGCTACACAGGATATTGCATCAAGTTTGCTCTGGACTTCTTGGTGATAACTGGAGTCTAGCTGCATTCCTCAGCTGAAAACCAGAGGTCTTCACTGTGTCTAAGCTACAGAGACTCGCCTTTAGCCATTAGTGCTAGGAGTCTGATGCACAGATGAGCAGTTCCAGATCTGTCCAGGAGACAGCAGCAGTGGACAAACGTGCATGGCTACCTACTAGCCAGATCGTCCGTTGCAGCAGGATGTATGCTGAATGTAATCCCGTTCCTGGTTTTGGATCAATAGGCTGCTCTTGGAGCTGTTGTAAACATTTTTAAGGTACCTTCCTGAGGTGGTATAAATACTAAATAATTCCCCCCCCATACAAAGCTTAAGAGATTGAGTTTAGCTGGGCTTTCTTCTAGTGCAGGGGTGAGCAAAATGTGGCCTGCAGGCCAGATGCAATCTGCCAGGCCATTCTCTCTGGCCTGCAGGGCCCCTAAAAAATGTAGAAAATGAATATTT